GATAATTTAAATATATTCATCAATTATCTATATTCACAGTACAGTGAAGTTCGCCTTTCCGAAAAAGAAAACAAATGTATACGGTGTAGAACGTGTTTTACTACAACTACAAGGTGCAATGCAATATTTTGCAGAGCATAAATGCCAGTAAGTACTGAAGAGAGAAAAATGCTTTTTTCGACTGATTTTATTTGATACTCATAGGGCACTGACAGTAATTTTTTATGAATCATTGCCTTTAAATAAAAGCTATATCAGTTACTTTAATATCTATGACTTTCAATGAGAATAGTTCTATGAATTAAGATTTTATTTATATATGACTTTTTACGCTGGAAACGATATTGTGAAACTTACTTTGTAAACATTGCAAGATAACTCAAGAAAAAGAATAAATTCGTACATTTTTTCTGAATTCATAATTCTGTTCTTTTCAACTATTTTAGTAAAATTATGTGGCTAAATATATTTCTTCTAAAAAAAACTTAGAAAACTACTTAGATATAACATGTATTTTTAACTCTCACACAAACAGGCTGTTTTGTTATGTTTCAGAACAGTGAGTGGATGCACTGGCTGTACATGTTACAGGGAGAACAATTTACACACTGCCGTTGTTTTAAAGACACATGTTGGCAGTGTTGATGACGCCGAATACATAGACGACACTGAGACGGATTTCTTCTTCTTTGACGGTTGCTGCAAGTGCATAAATAACTAGCATATAGCATTACCGGTTACAACAACATAGCATAGATATGGAGGATTGCTGTAATTGTGTTAAAGATCCTGTAACTCAATTATTCTATGTTTTCATATCATAAATATAATGCTCAAATGAAGATTTATCAATATTGTAAGTTCCAAAAAGCATTATTTATAAGGATATTACCGAATTTACATTTCATGTAATAAAGGGAGGTAATAAGAAATATATTTTCTATAAAATCTAAGTCAAATTTTTTCAATAAGAAATGAATGCATAATTATATTTTAATAAACACATATAATGTAGAGTACACATTTTACATATTCTTCAATGTTTGAAAATTGATTTAGAAGCATAATTATATACGTATATAAAATATAACAACCTTAATTACAACATACAGGATCTTAATTGACTAAGATAAAGCATTGACGGTTGCTGCAAGTTTAAAATACTTACAGTTGTGTAATTGAATAAATGTCTAAACGAGTTGTAAGTGTAACCAATAACTAGCGTACAGTTTCGCGTTTTGAACCTTTATATATATAGTGAGCTGCATTTTTAAGTAAACCTCTACCAAGAGTGCTCAGATCATGGCCACATGATCTCAATTGGCATAGCACCGGGGTCAAATGATTTTCCAAAGTTTCGTAAAGGTTTAAAAAAAGTAACAACGACATTCTTTTTGTCTTTGTCTAACCGAAAGGTCTCCAGCTGAGGTGTTTCGTGTGTAGCATTGTCTAATGGATCTCTATAACAACGGACAAAGTATCAAAATTGGTCTCACTCCGGGGTCAATGATTTTGACACCGTTCTTAACGACATTTCCTAGTAAGAGAATTTAAATAAGAAAATTTTCTTAAACTTTTCATGATTAAAGAGAATCATGATTGGAACAATTTTTCTAAAAATAAAAACCTTGTAGTTCATAGGATAATCTTGAAAGGGACAAAACTATCTGGGAAAGTAAATCATTGACTTTGTAAAATCTATTCATATTCCATTATTCTTCAAAAGGGTTTCGATGAAACCTCTTCATTGAACGTTTCAGTTCAACCCGTAGTAAATAAAATGCCTCTAGATAAAATGAGCCGCGTCATGAAAAAACAAGCATAGTGCTTTTGCGACCAGCATGTTTCCAGACCAGCCTGCGCTTACCAACCCTATTACAAGTAGAGAAACTGACAGCGTCAACATGGATGCTGATCAGACTGCGCGGATTATCAGGCTGGTCTGGATCCATGCTGGTCGCCAACGCATTATGTTGGTTTTGTCATGTCGAAGCTTAAATTTATTTTAGCATAATGGTCATACTCGTACATTGTCATATAACATATGGAGTAAGACATAACATGACACAAACATAATTCATGCACACCAACACAAGGGGTATCACGAATCGTTCCATTGCGGTCCCTAAATATTTGTTGAATATGCAGCCTTTTTAAGTCGCGTGTTTTAATTATAGACAATACCTCGAGGAGGACTAGTTTTATCGACCATGTAGACAGGCGCCGAGCCAAGTTTGAATTTTAAAAAATCATGACATAAGATGATAACTTCACATGTAGTTTTACAGGTAACAAATTAAACATCTTGGAATGGACATAATGTCATTTTAAATACTGAACAGAAGATGTGGACGTTATACAAGTACCATTACATGTGACCTGGACTTAACATACCCTAAATTGATAGAGGACTATTCCAAAAATAGAAGTTGGACAAGTCCATTTAAGAAAATCATCAGATTAAAGGCTAATATGAAAACGACTTCGATCATACACATTCAAATATTACCGTTTGTATGAAAATACAATATACTTTTCAATGAATTTCTCAAAATAATAGTATATGCTTATACATACAAAGTAGGTCTGCTTACTTTTGTCTTTTTGAAAGCGGTGGACGAACAGAATGTGTTTTTTTTTCTTGAAAGTTATGCACTGTGATTCGAATAAGAAATGAGTAAGTGGGTTAATAAAATCTATTATTCAAGCAGAAAACAAACCACAATGTTTTGTAGGAATGATAGAGTCAGTTCATCTGTATTGTTTCACTTTTAGTTATTGGCGAGTCCAGCTGGTCGTTTAATTTTTATGAGAAAACTCAGGTGCTGCTTAACATTGTCCACAATTCCCTGATATCACATCTCACTTTGTTGATCATTAATGGGAATATATTTTATCTAGGTTTATTGGTGAAAGGTTATGACATAAACGCAGTCCGGTATACTTGAAGTATACAATATAATAGAAAACAAAAACGGAATCCCTAAAGATCGCCCAAAACGATAAATCTGAAAATCTTGCAAGCTCGTTTTTTAGCCTGTTCTTTATAGTGGCTGATTTGGTACACTTTGCCCGTTGCGTTGTCGATAGCGATAACACAACCTATATCGATATCGCCTTGTCGTCCTGTCGCTAGCAAACGGCGCGTTGTCGCATTATAGTCTTGTTGTCCTGTCGCTACCGAAGCAAGCCAAACGGCGCGTTGTCCTGATGTCGCCATGTCGCTTGGCTTATATATATATACAAATAGCCTATTCTTCGATTTGAGCTGAGCGACAATGTGACATCGCTACAACATGCCGCGCGACAACGCGCCATTAGACTTGCATCGTTAGCGACAGGAAAACAAGACGAAAATCAGACAACGCGCCGTATGGCACTAGCGACAGCACGACGCACAAAAGTGTACCAAATCAGCCACCATAGTTCATGGACGGTACTGGAAAATGCAAGTTACCGTCTACGCCCCCTAGCAACGGTGTAAACAGACACGAAATTGATGAAATGTTAATTTAGAAACATTTGCAGGTGTGTCATATAACCTTCAATGTGATACTTTCCCGTCATTCCATGAAATGCGGCGTATGGTCTCCAAGCAATAGAAAGCGTATGCCCTTTTCCGAAAAAGCAATGCGCGGAACCAAACAAAATAGAATTTTCAAAGGGGATCAGAGGTTATGAAGCCTGCATATCACACTAAGACGTCAAAAAGCAGGCACCATATCCTAAGGATGATTTTACAGTATTCAAGTAAAAATGCTAGAACAACCCAAGTTGTAAAGGGTCAAATAGCAGTAGCTTAAAATACCATAAACATGTACACACAACAAATATGACGCGCACGATCTTCAACGATCGAAAGTATAAAATCTTTGATTATATGTACGGGGCGACGTTTAGTTTTCTATGGCCTCCACACGGCACAAATAACACTGAACCCTTACATTTGATGTTAACTTAAAGTTCGTTAGTATGAGCTTATCTTCATTTTACTGCTGTTTGAGCCTCATTGTACTTTCATGTTTATCACCTCATTGTGTCTTTGAATAATTTGTACATTGAATGAGTGAAATACATGGTGTTTTGACTGACTTTGAATAACATAACACTTTCTTAAATATCTAAAAGTTTTATTTTCCAGAAATAAAATTCACAATTTCAGATTTAAGATTTGCTCCACATAATGATATAATAATATACCCAATGTATATATTATGCTCCAAACAATGATGTTATTGAGCGATAAAATCACTGTTTGGGATATATTATTTCTTAAGTAATATACCAAACGTATATATTATGTTGTTACAATGGCGCAAATGTTTGAAAATTTACAATATCATTTAAAGCTACACGCCTCCAGATGAGCAAATAATATTTCGATAAAATCAAACCTGAGAAAATTCAAAAATATACTAAGATTTTAGGAAAGGTATAAAGATTCAAAATTCTAGTGAAAATTTATATATGCGATTAATGACCGAATTTTTCAGTATGTATAACTATATTTCTACTGAGTTACTAACGCAGTAAGGGCTATTTTTGCATATTTTGACCTCTTAATTACGTAATTTACATAGGCTGTAAGTGCCATTGATAATGTGTAAATTGCATTCTTTTGGTAACTTTATATTATACTGTTTAATACATTTTCAAATTTTCATGAAAATCAGCATGAATCTGGAGTTGTGCTGCTTTAATTCTGACATCTTTCATATGCATGTGTATTGAAATATTCCCTTTCAAAATTCAAACTTAAATAGTGTGAACTACATTGAGTAGATATTTAGCTTTACACTTTTCACTTTAACACATTATTTTTTACTAAGAGTATAAGTTTGTTTGTTGGGGAATTTAAATTCTATTCATCTAGTACTTAAACAGTTTTTGTCTAAATCAATATTCCTGATACGTTAACAGTGTTTAGCGCGAAATTAAGTATATATTGTTCAGACTTTTCAGTGTGATTTGTGGTTGTTGTCGAGGAGACCTTCTCAGTCCTAACAAATTCCTTTTTTATGTGAGCTGAGATTTTCTTGCTGTTGTAATCTTTTGAATCCATAATGCATTGGAATAAAGTCATAAGCGGCATTTTTGTCTTCTGCTTCCAAGACTAATAATTAAGAAATAATATATCCCAAACTGTGATTTTATTGCTCAATAAAATCACTGTTTGGAGTTCGGATGCGGGAAATTATATCACGGGGGCGTAGCCCGAGTGATATTATGGCGCGCATCCAAACCACAAGCAATAAAATCACCGATCTGGATATATTATTTTGAATCTAACAAGACATCAACAAATAAATGCTGTCGTACCTGATATTAAGCTAAATTGCGCCTGATTTGTTTCCGTACTTATTGTAAGCGCGTCACATTTTTAGTAGTACGTCACGTGTATAATGATTACGTCACATGTTTAAGTATAGAACTTCAAACAGATATTTTATAGCATCATAACTTACACTTTCGGTTCTTCTATTTTCAATACGGAAAAAAGCGGGTCGTGTTAGAATTAGAAATAATCCACTTTTCTGGCATTAAGTGTATCCTTTCACGCGATATACTGAGGACTTTGAATTGTTACTTAAGTCGTTACTACCGCTCACTTTTGCACGGCCTTGTAGGCTTTCGTTATGAATAAAATCACAATTAAACAATAATGTTCGTACAACGTTTTATTACAACAATTCATAGAAATTTTATACATATATATTACGAAGATAAAAAAAACCCATCAAATTATGTCTGTATTTTGAAAACAGAAAATACAAGATAAATCAATTAAAAAAACAACAACAAAAACAAAAAACACAAAACAAATAGAGATGTTTTTAAGACAACACGGAATTGCTGCATGTTTAGTACATCTTATCATCTAAATAGTTGTGTCGATGTGAGAAATGACATATTTACATGTAAAACAGAAGTCTTTAAGGCCATGAAACATAGTATTTTTCTCATATGACAATGCATTAAAAACAATCAGTTATGTCCGTATTTTGATACATAATATATGATAAACAAGATCAACAAGGAAAGGCGGCATTCAATGAAAGCAACCCACACGACCCAGCAACACAAGAATCGACTGTTCAACATCCGCGAAGTAATAGTAATGCGAAGCGTTTGTGATACAAAGACCTCCAGGCCCCGTGTTAATTAACAATGATTTAAGGATCAGGATCAAGATTAGGATCAAATTAAAAAACACAAATAGTCTCCCTTGTTTATCGTCAAGGTGAAATATTAATATTAACTTTATAAAAATGACCGTAAAATAGCATGTTTATGAAATTTTAGAATTAATTAATTGTTATTTAAAAAGAAAGTAGCATATTACAGTTTATCCAATTATTGATCTTGATCCTAAAATTGATCTTTATTTTGTATCGATATTCGTCGATTTTTTTCCTAAAATAGGATTGTTTCTTTGCAAATTAGCAATATTTTACATAATGGTGATGTACTTTGCACTTCTAGCAAAATACAATCAATTTTAGGTTTATAAAACAATGAAAGTTAATTAGGATAATTTGTTCCTGATCCTGATCTTTTGTTAATGAACATGGAATCTCATAATTGTGTGGGATATGTAGGCAAGGGTATCAATTGATGCTTGAATAAGACATAATATTATTATACGAACTTTGCAAAGCACCCTTTTTATGAATACAACACATTTACAGGAGATGTACAATCAACCACTCACTAACACTGTTATCAACAACAAAGATAATAAGTAGAAAAAAACATTAATAAAATGAAATAAATTAAAAAATATATATATAAGTATTAAACAATTAAGATCATTTATGGCAAACATTAAAGGTGCTGTTAAAGCAACATTGATAAAGATAACTCATTATTTCAATAGCAAAATTTACTAACTACTGAAGTGCGCAAGAAAAACTACACAGTCTTTTGTGCCATAATGCTAATGCTTCAAATCCATTAGCATAAATAGGATATATATTATATATCTAAAGTGCCTCGCTAGAGTTCATAGTTTAAAAGTGTTTCAACACTGTGAGCACTTTTCGTTTTAATCTTATTTTTTTTAATTTTTCATCGAGCTTTTACAGACGATAAAAAACTTAAATCGCTCATAATTATCATGTCACAGGTCATGTTGAATATTCTGCGCAAAACGTTTCATTTTTCATGCATGTAAATTCATATAAAACTATTCATAAAAATGATGACAAGGGCAAACATGCCGATGTTAAAGGCATCCAAGAAGAAGAACTTTTCAACAGATCCAGTCAAATAGATTGGTTCAAATGCAGATCCATCAATACAAACATGACAAAAGGTTTTTCCCTCCGATTCTGTTAGACTGTATTCGGCATCGATCAAAGTGCGGTTTGAAATTTTATCAAACACTAAATTGTTGCTTGTAATGTTGAACTCTCTTCTGTCTAATTGAATATTTTCACAAAAATACAGCTTTGTTAGGGTCAAAGGTAATCCTCTGCTGCGTGATTCATAGATGAGTACCGTAAAAAAATACAAAAAATTTAAAAAAAAATCAATGGGGGAATACGGGTCGAAAATCATTGAAGGGGAACGAAAGGGGTTTTAAAGTCATGTGAATAAAATTGCCCATTTTTTTTTCAAAATTTTTCTCTACTTGGGAGATCAATTGCTCAATGCCAGTGGTATGAGATTCCTTAGCCAAACGTACAAATAATTCGTTTGTTACACACGAAGAATTCAGTGGCTTGTAAAATAATCTCACGATGTTGAAGGATTTCAACAAAACAGAGTCAATGTTTGTAATGGGCTCGCTCATGTTTTGAAAGTAATCGAAAATACAAAAAGGTTTGTCACTGAAAAGTTGTATCGATAAAAAGAATATAACGTTGTACCATCTGGACACACCAAAGAAACATTCGCCGTTGTTCCCACGAAGTTGTCCTATTGGGCAGAAACGGGGTCTACATGTTCCTGAGGTCTGCAATAAATATTAAGGGATTATTTACAAAAACTTTTGTTGAGACATCGTAAATTATGCAGAAAGAAGTAAAAAGTATTGCTGTAGTATTTGAACCAAAAACTGTGAACTTGAAAGTTGGTCAGTGTCTAAAATAAAATATATTTGTATCAAAAGAATAACCTTGTCATTTTTTTAAGGAAATGAAATTCAATATAAAAAGTGTACAACAATCGATAAAAAGAACTAAATGTACTTGTATAACGCTCAATTTGTGAATAAAACATGTAACTATATCGTGCCTAGATTGCCTGTTTGCGGAATTAAATCAAAATACGCCTTGAATTTCAATTTATATCACAAACATTGGGTTTCAAATAAAATAAAGTCATGGTGTGTGTATGTCTATCTCTAGTCAGCTCTCAGTTTTAGTGTGTAAAAACTTTTTTTTTTAATTTTAATGAGTGCTCCCTTCAGAGTTATAAAAACAAAGATGATAAAGGGATAAGTGTACTCCAGCCAAATTAAGGTTAAAGAAATCTCCAACATTTTATGGTTTTAAATCATTTTATCAAAGTTCAATTGGGAACACGAAATATGCCCTTATCTTTCGTACATTTTAAGCTCTATGTTATCGGTGTATTCAAATCTATAAGCGATTGTTATTACATATCCTATCTTAGCATATGTCATATTATGAATATAATTAAAACTAAGTTGATATATACCGATTCAAAAACACTGCCATCTTTTCTTAAACACGCCATAGTCGGCTTCAACACATCTCCTCTGTTTGTTCTGGCATGTTCTAGCTTTTGAAGATAGTTGTAGTCTATTAGTCCTGATATACTATTTATCCCGAATTTCATGTTTTCCGATATATACTGTTTTCTACATTTAAACGGAATTGCCTTTGATTGACCATTGCAGATGTGACAAAATACATTTGCATACATATTGACAGTTCGGTACGGAGATAAAAATCCACTCGTACATGCACTTTTAACTTCTGTTTTGTTCATCGGTATAGAGTCAGGAATGCGAAATACATCTCCTGAACAAGTATCAATTAAGTCATTGAAACAGACACTTGATCTGTGGATAAAGATTCCTTTTGGGGCAAAAAACTGAACATGACATGTATCGACAAACGTTTCAGTTAATTCAAAGTCATTGCGGTTTGTGTCACAGACCATGATTCCCTTCCAATAAACAACATTTTCATCTTTCAAACCGTGTTCTCGAGAGCAGTGAATGTTTTTATAAACGTACCCAGTTATTTTCGATGATACTGGTAATAGGCTGCCCCAGTGTGCAACTTCAATGAGACCACATGCCTGGTTTTCTGACGACTCATTATTGTCTAAGATTTTAGAAACCATCCAGAATGACTGTTGTAGTACTTTTCCTGGAATATCATTTGGCTGGGTAGATTTAGGGTATAAACATTCATTTATCAGTATCTTATTCTTTTCTGAAATAGTCTTAACACTGTCTTTGTTCAAAGATCCGTGTCCTACAGGATAAGCCTGATCCGGAAAACAACAGTTCTCGTAATCTGTACAATTTGGATCGCAAGAACAATCTGTAATATTAAAAAGAGATAACGACCGTCTTTCTTATGTAAAACATGCATTGCCAACAGAACGATATAACAATGATATATGCATTTATGCAACAGTCATTTAATGAAATATAACGAAAAAATCGTTTACATGCAGCTTTTGTAGATACGTTTAAACTAATTAACGATTATGTTACGAACCATTTAAGTAAAAATATCTATTCTGTATAACGAATGGTAAAATTGCTGGTATTGCTCAGTATGACCTGCTTACGCAAGAAAATATCGGAATACATATTCAAACTTTTTCTTATAACTGAGTAGTTTGCTAGTGCTGAGATAAAATAAATAATAGCAGAACAGTTTAAAGATAATTGGAATTATTACCATCATTATTGTAAGACTTAAGAAATATAAAATGAATCATAAATTGATTTATCAACGTGTTTTTATAATAATTTTGTCAATTGTTTGAAAAAGATTTAACAAAGAGTTTTCTTTTTTTTTCGAAGTTTGTTCAGCGCAAAAATCTTTCCCTGTTGGTATTCTGTATATATCGAAACTTTACAATCCAAACAATGATTTCGCCATTTTCAGAAAACCAAAATATATTAAACCTATGAAGGGTAAAAAATCAAATCACCTTTGTAACATGTATACACCCCAGTCACAAAAAATATTAAAAGTAAAACAACAGCAACAACGAAAAACAACCACTTGAAAACAGGCTTAAGATTACATCATTCGGAAACTAAACAAAGCAACAAAATAGCAAGATATAAAAGAATGTTATGTTATTATTTCTTTATTTCATGTCAACACTTTTACCAATACAGCAAGTGTTGCTTGCTTCCTGTGTCGTGCTGGCGTCAGAGTTGTTTGTTGGGCAAATGTTTCTTTCTGGGCAAAATAATCTCGCCATGTTGATCACATTTGTTCGGCTTAAACTACTTTCGCCTCCATTTTTCAATAAACAAATAAGAGCCAAGGCTATTACTTTATAACCAGCTTTCATTTTGCTCTGAAATAAAAACATAGTTATATGAGGTTTTTAATTAAGTTTACATGACTCATTTAAGTTTATGTATAAAATCATCTAGAAATTTTATTGTCCAGGAATTTACTTGTGATTCTTTTATTGAAGATGTATTCTTAATGTTAAAGAATGTTCTATGCTTTATTTGTTCTATCCGTATAAAGTCGAGAACATTTAGGCTACTCAAAAATATAGATAATATTTAGGCATAAAAAATATAGCATTAAATTTTCATCATTATTCTTCGTGTGGAATAATCTTGACTGTATCTAACAATCTATTGAATTATTATTCTTCTAAAAATCGTTATGGACATTTGTCGGAAGAAGAGCGTAAATAAGTGAAATAGGGATTGATCATCTTGTCCAAGCAGGCCTTCTGAATCAAGGAACTGAAAAAAATGTGACAATGCAAAATTATTCTTAATTAATCTATTGATTTGATTACTGAATAGATTTAGGAGATTAAATAAAAGAATACATCTTAGTGATTTAATCAATGAATACATTTCAGTGATATATTTAAATAATAAATTTGATATAGTTCAATTGATGAATGCATTTTAAGTGATTAAATTTATAACTAAAACGTTCGTTACTAGTTATTCTTTCTTTCTATAACACATGTGGTCCGTAACATATGTAATTTAAGTTCTTTCGGCTCAGGACAAATGTGAATCTTTGATAACAGGACCAATTCTGATTAATTGGTACTTTGTTTACAGTTACAATAATATATAAAAAGTACAAACAGTACAGGCTAGAGGACGTTAGACAAACAAAACCTTAAACTTTTACGCCCAAAAAAGTTAAACTGTCTGCAATTTTCATCTTTTGAATTGTTTTATTACTCTGGAGGAGTTCAAATTGTCCTGATTTTCTTTTCACAGTCATTCAACGTTTTGGTTTGCCTATGTGTTTATGACTTGGCGTTGCCATCAACTAGCTTAAGGTAACAAACATAAATAATTAAGGCGAAACACGAGTGACATATTACAGTAAATACATAGATTTTCTATAAATACATGATTTATTTTCATCGAGTGGTATGAAAATAAATATTCCATAAGTGGCGGTAGCCACGAGTGAAATATGTTAATTTTCATGCCACAAGATGAAAATAAATTATGTTTTCATAGAGAAAAACTTGAATTTTCTGTTTATTATATTATGTACATTTTTTGTCATTTTTTTTTTTGACATTACAATTTGTGTACTGGCAAAATTTAAAAGAAAGTAGTCTGGCAAGACACCAGTGAAAATACGGAAAATATGTTTCACTGCAGTGAATAATGAATTTTCACAGCGAAAATAAGGAAAATGAAAATACGCATTTTATTTCATCAATATTTCTCAATATTTCACCTACAATGGTAGGATACCACGTCATCGCGCACCTGCTGAGTGCTCCCACTTGGACCATTTTTTCGTCGACTCGAAGGTAAAATACAATTTTATTATAAGAAAACGTAAGAGTATTAAAAAATCATGTAGCGCACCAAAGAATGGTTATAGTACTTGAGATAATTGTAAAAAAGTTTATAGATTTATTGCCTGGTTTAGGCCTGAAAACGGGATAAGTGTTTTTCTCTGAATGCTCCCACTCGGACTTTTCCCGAAACATAAGAAATAAGGTTGAAAACATTCTTGAAAATTATTTTTAACGTACCTTAATTTATAACCGAGTCATGTTTACACATTTTTCTAGATTAGTTTCAAATATTATTATTCAGAAGTTAGTTTTTCTTAATTCTTTTTATAAAAATGGAAAATGCTCCCACTCGGACTCAACTTCAGAGATGCTCCAACTCGGACCTAAATATATACAAATTTTGAAAGCACATTGCTGTGTTTAGATATTATTATAGTTCAAAATATCTTTATATTCAAGTTCATATATTCATATAATCAGTTAGAATTCAATGAAACAGCATTTTTAAAATACGATACTATAATATTTAGATCACTAAAGTTGTAAAAGTATATCATAACAGTCTCGTAAATATGTCTTCTTAGAGGATCAGTTATCGGCCTAAGAATAAGAAGAAAAAAATGTTGTGTTGAAACAATTCCTCGTTAAATAGAGTCGCTGAAATAAGAAACAAATTGATTATACATTTTAAAAATATAATAACGTTTTGTTTTGCAGAAAGTATTTGTGTTTGTGACCAGTATGGGGAAATGTATAAACCACATTGCGACTTAAGGAAGCACATGGCGGGACATCTTGGCACGCCATAGCTGAGGCAAATATTTTAGATACCAACTGTGGATATATCTCAGTGAGGAGGAATACTCTAGAAAACACAAGAATAATAGCTCTTTGAAGTAATTGTCTTTTGTTCAGTTTTTGCGTTAATTTTGGACAATGTGTCATAAAGGATCAATTTATCTGAAACTTCACTGGAGGATAGATTTCAATAAAGTAAAATACCGCAAACAAGAATGAAAACTCTCCATTTTAGAGTAATTGCTCTTTGTATTCACTATGATTAGTTTGCAAGGACCATATACCTCTAAAGGTATTTGAGATATAAACTTGAAACTTTATATTGAACATGTTTAATAGAAGTGAATAGCAGAGCATAAGGACCAGAAGTGTTCACTTAATGCTTCTTTGTTGTTCTTTCTTTGATTTTTTTTTCATCGGAATGTTATTTTTCTCATGATTTATTATGTCTAGGCTATAGCTTTTCATTAATTTTCACCAGTGTCATTACTTGGATTTGTACATGTATGTAAGGGTTACTTCTTTATAAAATGTATTTCCTCCTTTTCGGCGGGGGATTTTACTGTCTGTGATTCCTTCTTGTATGATTGTTATTATTTTAACGTCATTTAAATATCCTGAAATCAATTTCTTATGGTTTTATATCATAAATATAATGCTCAAATGAAGATTTATCAATATTGTATGTTCCAAAAAGCATAATAAATGTGTAAAGATAAAACCGAATTTACATTTCTTAATGGGAGGTAATTAGAAATATATTTTCTATTAAGTGTAAGTTGAATTCTTCAATAAGAAATGAATGCATACATGTATATTTTAATGATTACATATAATGTGGACAAGCATTTGCAATACGTATTTTACATATTCCTTAATGTTTGGAAATTGTTTTAGTAGCATAATTATATATATATATATAAAATTTTATTTAGTAACAACCTGAAATATAACTTACAGGATCTTTTATAACCAAGATATGGTAAAGGCTGTGATAAAGAAATAACTGTGATCTTTGTTTTCTTATTTATTTATTTTGTAGTTTTAGGTAAAAATACGTACACATGATAACATTCATACTTAAAATTGTCCAAGTTGTCAATAATTGCGATGCATGCTTTATGTGCCATGGTATGGCAGTACATTGACTTTTTAACCAGTTCATGACAAAAATGATTTGCATGTTGTTCTTTAATAAATTCTTCTAATCAACCGATAGATATTGATTTCTTTATGTTCATAAACGTACCATTATGTTGTTTTTAAATCTAAATCACAAGTTTAACAAACACGCAAATCATTGGGTTTTATATTATTAACAAGATATTAAAGTCAGCAATTATTGAATATATGCAGGCCTCTAATATATGTACAAGTCCAACAGAATCTTAATCCAGTATGGTACTAAACAATGTATTGTGACTTCTTTATAAAACACCACCATTGTTTTAACATCTCAACAAAACTTTATTCTTGAGACCCAAACTGTCCATTTGAAGTCTTATAGTCCTGGCTTTGTTGTTGGCAATAATTTTGAATTATACCTTCGGATCCAACACAAGTCAAGTGCACCTTTTTGTAAAGTGATCGTGTCAGTTGAAACTTTGCCATGGCACCTTGTTCCTGCCAAACGACGTCATTCTTCAGAATCAAAGAAGTGATCTCTGTAAAAAGAAGGAAAAAGTAAATGTCGCCAAACACAGTAGTTATTGACATTGGTTTAAAAATTGTGAGAATAATCCATAAAAGCTTAACACAGCAATGTGCTTTCAAAATGTATATATTTGGGTCCGAGTGGGAGCATCTCTGAAATCGAGTCCGAGTGGGAGCATTTTCTATTTTTATAAAACAAAAAACTTTAAAAATCTGACTTTTGAATAAACATCTTTGAAACTAATCTAGAAAAATGTGTAAACATGACTCGGTTATAAATTAAGGTACGTTAAAAATAATTTTCAAGAATGTTTTCAACCTTATTTCTTATGTTTCGGGAAAAGTCCGAGCAGGAGCATTCAGAGAAAAACACTTATCCCGTTTTCAGGCCTAAACCAGGCAATAAATCTATAAACTTTTTTTACAATTATCTCATGTACTTTAGCTATTCGTTGGTGCGCTAGATGATTTTTAATACTCGTACGTTTTCTTATAATAAAATTGTATTTTACCTTCGAGTCGACGAAAAAATGGTCCAAGTGGGAGCATTCAGCAGGTGCGCGATGACGTAGTATCCTACCATTGATCTATATGTTTATAAGTGTCCTGGTTGTTTTAAAAGTCTTTAAGTCGTGTATGTTTTTTGATAACATGTATCTACATTTTATTGTTATTACCTCACCCGTTAATTTTTTTCTATTTTGTTGTTAAAACGTTATTGTGCTTCTCAAGTTTACAAAAAAGTGGAGGGTTTACTTCTCCCTCAGTCCCTTGAACTTTTATCTCTGAACGTTTTCTTTTTTGCTTAAAAAAAACATTAATTGACATAATTTATTTGTATGTTTATTAAATACTGTTTTTTTGCCAGAGACTGATTTTAAATTGCCAGCCATTTCAATTTCTAATTGGCATTTCTTCTGGGTTTTCTTTACAATTTGCATGGTCTATAGATTGTCCACGCAAATCCGTTCAGTATGTTTTCAGAAATAATTGGTTATTATTTAAGAATTGTACATCTTAGTTACGTATATCATTTCTGTATTTTTAATTGTTAAAAAGGTAGACAGTATAAACAATGTCGTTGCTATATATCATAGGTTTCCTATTGAATATAGTTACTAAAGGATAATGTTAAGCATTTACCATTTGGTGAATAGGCTGGTAGAAAGGGTTGTTAGATTGGGGCAGTTGGGTGGTTAAGCTTTTTTAGAGCGAAAGAAAACAGAAAAGAAAACACGTACTTGTAATACTTGTGTTTTTTTGTTTGATTGGGTTTTACGTCACACCGACACAGTATAGGTCATAAGGTGACGTTCCAGCTTTACTGGTGTGCGAAGAATTCAGGTGCCCTTTCGTGCATTATTTCAGGCACGAACGGGCACCTGAGTAGAACCACCGACGTTCCGTAAGCTGGCTTCCTCACATGAAAGAATCCAAAGTCCCTGTCGGGATTCGAATCCAAAGCGGTGAGGGGCAAGTAATTTGAATTCAACGA